GGAAGGAGGTTTGCAGCAATTAAGGCTACCCTATCAGGAATTAGAGACCGGAGAGAAGGAATGGCAGCTATAAAGGCTGCACAGAGAGGAAGAAAGAAAAATTCCGGAGAAAAAAAAACTAAGAGGCAGCAATGAAGGCTGCACGAAGTCAAGAAATAAATCCCAGAAAAAGCCCTAGGGCTCTGATACCATGACGTGAATAATTGATGGAATAATCCTCTTATTTCACCTTTGATAATACATGGTAATATATAGGAGATTACAAGAGAAAAGAAAGGAAACTAAATCAAGGAAAAAATCAAGAATCTAAATCAGGGAAGTTGCCTAACTAAATCCCTCAATTTAAGGGATTCAACTAATTCTCCTATTCTAATATCTACACTTTGACACTTAATAATTAAGAATCACATAGAGCTAAGTAAATATTTTGCAAACCCTGAGTATGATTGGTGAAAAATGTTAAAAGATTGTTTTAAATCTTCACTGAATGACTGCTTGTAGATGTCTACATTTAGTCTTTGAAGTTGGTACAGTCCAATAAATTTTTAGGATGCTAAAGCTATAATATTAATTTTACTGAGGTAGCATTCTGGTAAAATCTGTTGGTTTCTGAAAAGGTAGCGTCTTTTATAGCTATAAATGCACCTATTGTTCTTTTTTGTGGCCTAATTCTGTTTTTGCTCTTTACCTTTTTATGACTAATAGAATTGAATTCCGTTTGGAATGTGATCTTTGTTCCAAATATTGATCAGTTCCTGGGTCTATCTTCTGAGTTCTGGATTGTACTCAAGGTTGCTAGTGTCATTATTGATTAGCTTCTCCAATGTTAAGCATCCATCATTGGCAACACCATTTCATACCTTATTCTTCTTATTTTGGTAACCATGCTAAACTTTACTAATAAAAATGCCATCTGTCTGTTTAACAGGTCATCTCAAAACTAACAGATGGGAGATCTACACACATACCATACAGGGACTCTAAATTGACGAGGCTTCTTCAATCTTCATTAAGTGGTCATGGACGCGTATCTGTAAGAGTTTACCATGTGCACACATACATGTGGTATGTTTGTGGTGTGCACATATGTGTTCATGTGCATGTGAGTGTATTATATCTATAAAAATGCATGCGTCAGGGATCGTATCCATAAACATGCAATTCTATATCCATAACTTTTTGTCAACTTAATGAACTTGAATACATCAGTATATTTGTATTATGGGGTGTCAAAACATTCTTTATGACTGTTTTAACAGTTAGAGGAATAATTTGTTAATATTTTATAAAACCAGCTAATCTGCACCGTTACCCCCTCATCAAGCAATTCAGAAGAAACACATAACACGTTGAAGTTTGCCCACCGTGCAAAACATATTGAAATAAAAGCATCACAAAACAAGGTATGATATCCAGAGATATCCATATTATAAAATGTTATTTGTTGAAAATTCTTTGAAGTAAGCTTCTGATTGTGCAGATAATCGATGAGAAATCACTTATTAAGAAATACCAAACTGAAATTCGTTGTTTGAAGGAAGAATTAGAACAACTAAGAAGAGGCATAGTCACAGTTCCGCAAGCAAAAGACATTGGAGGAGATGATATTTTGCTCCTAAAACAGAAGGTATTCCTGGAGAGGACGTTTTCAATGGTCTTTTATTTTTTTATTTTTATTTTTTTATTTTTTTTTTATTTTTTTTTCAGGTTCTCATCTAATTTGTAGCATTTTGATATTTGGCTTCTATTTGCAAAAAATGATTGCATAACATTATATTTCTGCATTATTTGTAGAGTTTTGTCACTTAAAAGCCTGTTTTTGGTGATTAATAAGTTGTTTTTAATCCTACTATCCCAATAATTGCTCCCTATTGATAATCCATGGAGTTGAAAGATCTTAACCTTGTCTCTAAATCCTCTCCACGTTGACATAAAATTTCCAGATTAACGTGCCATCGAAATTGTTTTCACGATTTATTTGATTGTTGATTTATTTACCATTATTTCCGTAATTTCTTTGTTTGTAAATATTCTATGTATCCTAAGTGTAAATGTCTAAATTCTTATATAATCGTGCTTTCTAATTGAAACATGGGCTTCGTGAAAAAGGTGTTGGCTAGGTCTCTGTATATTCTATTTAAAGTAAAATTGGATGAGGATGAAGCTACATATGATTCACATGTTGATTCAGTCTTACCCACCCATGGTTCTAGATGGCACATTACAACCATTAACATAATAATTCCTTTCTAATAATCAATATTATTTACCAACTCCTTTATTTCTAAGGATATTTTGATCATGAATTAATCATTGTCTTTGCTCTACATTGTTTTTGTATGTTGCACTGAGACAAGTTACCACTGGGAGCATTTTGGTAAAATTCATAACTTCTAGTGGTTAAATTAGTGAAACCTTGATGTTATGACTCTGTTTTCTTCTTTTGAAGTATCTACTATCATGTTAGGTCCTCTGTGCTACATTTGATTCCTGACACTCATTTGTGGATTACGAATGAACACAAAATGCATCTATGAATAGTGATTATCATGTACTCACTTGATGCAATGCGTGTGGTGGCCTGATTTCTGAAGCTAGAAGATGGTCAAGTGAGATTGCAATCAAGATTGGAACAAGAGGAAGAAGCTAAAGCTGCTTTAATGGGCAGAATACAGAGGCTAACAAAATTGATTCTTGTGTCAACAAAAGCTTCACCATCATCAAGATTTCCTCACCGCCCAGGACCAAGAAGAAGGCATTCCTTTGGAGAAGAAGAGGTGTATTGATTAAGCCACCTATTTTTTATTTTAGTTTGCTAATTTGCCTTCTCCCATTCCTTTCCTTTTCTCCCTTCTCTCTTGGGATGGGAATGGATGGACATTTAGCTTACACTGTAAAGGCTTATAATGCAGCACATCATGTAAGTTTGGTTTAATGTAATTTTACTTTGTCTTGCAGCTTGCTTATCTTCCACATAGGAGACGAGATTTGATCTTGGATGATGAAAATGACTTGAATGATTCTCTTGATGGCAGTGCAGAAACTACTGATGACACATTGAAAGAAGAGAAACGCACTAAGAAGAATGGATTGCTCAACTGGTTAAAGTTACGGGTATGGCTTCATCTCACTTACTGGAAAAAGGCTTTACTCCGGCTTATAAATAATCGGAAACTAGTTCTAGAATTCTTTTCAAGTGTTGATTAGTTATTTTTGTAGTTTCATGTTGTCATTTGAAGGTAATGTTGAAGACATAAATATAGATAAATAAGAGCATGTATGGGAAGTGATTATAAGTGATTTAAATTATAAATAGATAGAAATGAGTGGTGGGTAAGTGAATAGTACTTGCTAGTCCCTCAAAAGGCGTGGATTAAAGTATCTCAAGTGTATATAGATAGTTTATAAATATGAGTCAAACATAGGCTAAATTTCTGTGTTATCTACCTACTTAAACTTGGGCTTTTAAACAAGATGGTTCAACAAATACATGATATCATTGTTTAAAAATGTTCTGATTCTAATTTCACCACCCCCTTCATTATGAAAATTTTCACACGTCAGGCTCGATTGAGTATTGAAGATACAATTTTGTAGATAAATAAATGAGCGATATCATGTCATCTAAATTTATTTATTAATGAAATGGAAAAAAAGGCTTGATCTAATGCCTTAATTTGTTCGAGTTTGGAACATAATTTGGAAAAATTGTAGCTTCAACAGGTAGTGAAGATTTTTTTGGATAAAAAAATCTTCTTTGATGTCTAAATAGTTGGAATAAGTTACTTGCTGAAAACATTAATGACATTTAGGGACTAGTGACCAAAGCTCTTAAGAGTTTACATGTGACGACCCGAATCCTTAACGATTCGAGTGTCACTAAATCATAAACTAAAATTAATTTAAAGAATATTAAACGCAATTATATAAATTATTAAAGCACTGACCAAAATTCAAATAATGTAACGAGTTTAATAAATTAACTTGAAACGGAAAATATCTCAAAATATTTAAAATCAAATGAAATATAATAGTTTGACAACATAATAATTTTATTACTGAAAGTTTTGCCTCCATAAGCCGTCTCCATGTTGACCGCCTCGAATCGTCAATTATCTGAAAGAAGAGACATAATGGGGTGAGAATAATTTTCAATAAGCGTGCGTGGATAATGAAATCATATATGTATTTCTATGGAAAATTCATAACTTTCATAAGGAGATACGAAAATTAGACTGAACTTATATGATGCTAAATTTTCATGCGTAGCGTTACTAAACTCCGGTCTATTCTTAATAAAACATAAATAATATGGACCAAAACATAACATAGCCGTAGAAATATTACATACATAAATATTAGCAACCATAAACATAAAACACAACTAACTTTTTACTGGACAATTCAATATAATAAAAGGAGTTATTGTTGGAAAGAGATCTTTGAGCTGCATGTGAGGTTGATTATTCACGTGTAATTGTATAAGTGTATGACCATATTTAATATAGAAGTAACAAGAGAGAGGTGGAAAGACACAGTTATAGAGGTAGAGAGGGAGAGTGTGTAAATAGTTGTTGAGGGGTATTTTGGTGTTGGGTTTGTCTCCTATTTATAGTGTAAATTCTTGACCATGTATAGAAAAGTGAAAAAATGGCTAGATGTTAGGCATGGTCAATGCATAATGGTGTATTGTCATGAAAATAGTTAAATCAATACCTTTAATCATGTGGTCAAATCAATTTACTTGCTTAAAACTTAGTGTTGTCTAATCAATTTCCTTTATTTACGTGGCTAAATCAATTACATTGGCTTGAAATGTGTTGTGAAAAGTGTATGTGGTCAATAAATCATATTTAATCAAAACCAATTTGCATATTTACATATGGTTCACGCATGATTTTATCTAATTTCTAGACTTTTCACTTAGGTCCTCAAACCATTGGTCAATAACCAATAAGGTCATTAGATTATGCCAATAACCAATAAGGTCATTAAACTTTAATAATAGCGTACTTTAGTCCTAAATTTAAATTTAACAAGAAGAAGTAAAAATTTGGGATGTTACATTACACGGAAGAATATGCCAATTTTGGTATAACTTGCATCAAAGTATGCTGCTTTCACCATGTAACATTGATGAGTTTGCTGTGACTATAGAAACGGGATAGTGGTACTGGGACCTTGGCAGGCTCCAGTGACAAATCGAGTGGAATGAAATCAACGAGTATACCTTCAACGCCTCAAGTTGAGAGTACTAATATTCAAATGGAAGCAAGATATCCACAGTCCTTACTCACAGAAACTGCTCCATCTGCTGTCAATTTATCTGATGTCAGAGAGAACGAAGAAGTCCTCCCTGACGACGACTTTTTGGGACAAGAGACTCCACTGGTATGAGATAAGGAACTTTTACTTTTGTCTTGTATTGGTAAATTTGCATTCTGTATTTTGGATATGATGCAGTGAAGTCAAATCACTCAAGTTTCATAATTGTTCATATTAAGTTCTGATAAAAAATCCTTATATGAGTAATGGGTTTATAAAGCTATTGCTTACTTCAGCAAATCATGTGCATTTTGGTGCATAGGATTGCAGTAAGAACTGTAATCATTTCACTTTTTCACGACCACATAGTTATCTTGTGTTATGTAATGTTTATTAGACCAGCATAAAGACTATGGATCAAATCGACCTTCTGAGAGAACAGCAAAAGATCTTATCTGGTGAAGTAGCACTTCACACGAGTGCTTTAAAGCGTTTATCTGAGGAGGCTGCACAAAATCCCAGGAAAGAGCATCTCCAGGTAAATTTCTTCATGATCCTCTTTTTTTCAAAGTTATTTGTTATATCCTAAATTTTGTCAGTCATTCTTTAATATGTAAGGCGGAGATTCGCAAACTGAATGAAGAAATGCGGAGAAAGAATGAACAAATAGCTTCACTGGGAAAACAAATTGCTGATTGCATTGTTCCTTCTCATGACAAAAAGGACAACTTCGAGGAAACACAAGTATTACTGTGGTTATTTTTTATTTATTTATTTGAGGTTTCATGCTTAAATTCATCTTCCTTTAGTAATTGCTGTTTCATGCTGCAGTCTATGTCTGAATTGATGGAACAGTTAAATGAGAAATCATTTGAACTTGAGGTAATGTAACTTGTACGTCTGTCAATAGAATCTGGTTTTCTATCTACTTTTATGTGTTGAGGGACTACTACTGTGTTGAGTCTATTTCAGTTTAGATTTATATTGTTATAGACTTCATAGTGTTTGAACAAGCCATCCATTATACACTGCCATGGTAAAATTCTTCCGTATGCTGTGATGCTAACTGAAAGATAAAAGGGAAATGTCATTTAGCACCTGTTTTGTGGCCATTATTTTCAAAAACCAATGTTTTGAATAGTGATTTTTAGGGCTATGTATGGTTAAAAAGTAGAGACTAGTTTTTGGTTTATGTGTAGAATATTTACTGTGTAAATGTGTGGTTGAAAATGAGTATGTAGAAAAATGTGTTTTCAAATAATGGTTGTCAAACAGGGGCTTGGTGTTACAAACTTGGTCAGAGATTAAAATGTCTTTTCACTATCAATTCTTGTTTGTTTTTGGTCATAAGTGAATTGAACTTGGATTTACTAAGATTTGAAATGGAAGTAGAATGATGGAGAGCTGAAAATGGTGTGAAACTTTTACAAAATCTTTTCTAAACATTCAATATGCCTTTCGTTGTTTCCAGGTCAAAGCTGCAGACAATCGAATAATCCAAGAGCAACTTAACCAAAAGGTGGGTACTCATTTCAGCCAGTTATCTCGTTAAGCATTAATTTTGTTCTCATGATATTGTTAGAGATGGTAAAAATGACTTTTCTTGCTAGATCTTGGAATGTGATGAGTTGCAAGAAACAATTAACACCTTGAGACAACAGCTCTCTGATGCTTTACAGCAGAGAAACTGCACCCCATTGAGTAGTCATTCACAACTCTTTTTGGAAACCAAAGGTTTGCAGGTAGAACTTCGTATGGGGAAAAAAAATGAAGTCCTGAAAGATGGAAATGAAACATTGCTTCTACAAGCTCAGGTTCTAATTTACGTCTCTTCCTTTTTCTGAAATTGATTTTTCCTATGAAATGATGAAATTGCTAAACTTGCACATACTACGGACATTGTATCAACATGGCTAATTTGGTTCTTGGAAGGAGAATTATAAATAGCTAAGTCTCTATATGATCCTCATCTTTTGAGAATAGATTTTGTAAAAGGTAAAATAGGTTTTCTAAAAGTGAATTTTCGGAGAATGAGTGGTTAAAAATTAGTAAAAATATTAGGTTTACGTGCAAAATTATTTTAGTGAAAGAATGTGTGGTTGAAAATGAGTGTGGGGAAAATGAGTTTTAAAAAATGGGGCTCAAAAAGGGGCTAAACTGAGAAAACAAATGGAATAGGAGCAGATCTGTACTACAACAAGGGAAATAGTATTAAGGGGGTTTGATTAAACAGTATCCTTTTCCTGTTATATCATATAGTCAGGTGGGCTGCTCATGGTTTTTGAGGACCTTACTCTTTGTTTCTTTGAACTTAATTTGGGCTCTGAGTAAATTGTATATTTGCTACTTCATCCTCCCTCTGAATCTTTTGCAAACCAAACCCTGACCTGTGTTTTACTTTATTTTAACCAAAGGAAGGTTAAAGTGGTATTATCTTCATCTTCTTTTCCTTGTTATGACTTGTTTATAACATTACTATTTTCCAACCACCAATCTGCTGATCGTCAACAATTTATTTTAGTTGAATGATTTTGCTTTAATAAGCAATGAACGTTTGTGAGTGAAATCTCGTAATATTTAGAGTGCAATTAAATGATTACATCATTGAATGCCTCACCAACACAATTTATGAACAAAAGAATTTATAGAATGTGAAATTTTAACTGCCATATATATATAGATTCAGGCATTTAATTTACTTTTTAAGAGAGGTGCCAATTCTGATTTGGCTGCGAATTAGGAGTCTTTGGTTTATCGTGGATATACATGTGTATGGACATTTATCTTACTGTCATTTTTCCACGATAAAGATTACCTGCTATAAATAAGCTCAAGAGGTCGTTTTATGTTGTGCAACTAATTTCATGCTTTTGCCTCCATTAGGCAAATGAAATTGAAGATCTAAAAAAGAAACTCACTATGTTAACTGATTCAAAAGAGGAATTAGAGCTACGCAACAATAAACTGGCGGAGGAAAGTTCATACGCAAAGGGATTAGCATCTGCCGCTGCTGTCGAGTTAAAGGCTCTGTCTGAGGAAGTTGCAAAACTAATGAAACACAATGAAAAATTAGCTGCAGAGCTGGAAGTGCAAAAACACTCTCCAACTCAGCGCCGAGCAACTATTGCCAACAGGAATGGCAGGAGAGATGGTTATGTCAAACGACTTGAGCAAGGTGTCTTGACCTCAGATATGAAGAGAGAATTGGCCCTGAGTCGTGAAAAGGAGCTTTCTTATGAAGCTGCGCTGGCTGAAAAGGATCAAAGAGAAGCTTATTTACAGAGGAAAGTTGAAGAATCTAAACAAAAAGAAGCCTACCTAGAGAATGAACTTGCAAACATGTGGGTTCTCGTGGCAAAGCTAAAAAAGTCTCAAGGAGTTGAAAATGATGAATCAAAAAGAGAAAACCGGCGGTTATCTGATGACTTTCAGATATAAAATAATCAGATTCCAATGTAAGGATTTTCGATAGATAGTGATTGTAAGTAGAGACAGGAGTCAAAATTTTCCATGTGTGATTAATGCTAAGCTGAGATGGAATGGGTTGTGCATTGTAAAGTTGAACACTTGGTTTCTGTTTTTGCTTTTTAATCATTTCCCGAGTGCTTAATCTAATACCGAATTTGATTTGTATCTTTTACTTGTTTGCCGTTGCTAAAAACTCACTGTTCAGAAACTGAGAAGAAAAAAGTAAAATGCATTTTGATCAATATGTTGTCATTAAGCCGCATTGAGTTAACCTGAAACAAAAAGGAGAAACGGTCACTTGGTGACTTAATCATTATTCATGGCTTACCAGTTGGACTCTGCTATTTGGCTGGGGCCCATGTGAGCCATGTTGTATCTCCTGTTGGCTGTACGTCTGTTCCAATTTCATTTCATTGAGAATAATAAGGGAAAACACGAACAAGCTTTGCTCAGTCATTTCAAGGCATTGAAAGTCAATTTGTCATTCAATTCCATTGAATTATGTTGGCAAAGGTCCTTTTCCTCAGTTATTATCTCAAAACTAGTGTAAAACTTAATTAGCAAAACAATCATTGAACAGAATAATGCTATTGAATATGTAAACAATTATATGTTGAGAAATATAAACCATAATTTTATTCCATCGAAAGCAATTAATTCGAAGAAATAAAGACAAAACACTTAAAAACATACAAGATTTATAGATGTTCTACTTTCTTATCTCCTTATCAATGACTCATCTACAACGGCAACAACTCCTTATTCCTTAAAAGATAAGTCCAATTGAAGTTGTACACAACTTTAGTTTCTCGATCGGAACAGTCTCTGTCAATATGTCAGCTAGGTTCTGACTCTCCAGAATCTTCTCAAGTATTAAGATATCCATCATCCAAAGTCGATTTGATAAAATGACAGCAAACCTATATATGCTTTGTCTTTGAATGATAAAATGATTCTTTGCTAAGTGAATAGCCCTCTGACTATCACAATACAACATAATCTTCCCATACTTTCATCCAATTCTTCCAAAAAGGACTACAATTACAGCAAAATACTCAACCTCAATACTGGCAAGAGCAACTATCTTCTGCAACTTAGATACCCAACTAATTGTCGTACCACCCAAATTGTATATATATCTAGTAGTACTTTTTTCTGTCATCACTATTTCCTATCGTGTCAGCATCTACATAGCCCTGTAATCTCAAATTTGATTTTCTAAAACATAAGGCTAAATCTTAAGTACATATCAAGTATTTGAGAATCCACTTTACTGCCTCCTAATGCTCTACCTGGATTGCTCATATATCTGTTCACAACTCTTACTATACGTGCTATGTTCGATCTTGTAAATACCATGGCATACATAAAACTGTTAATAACAAAGGCTTAAGGTACCTTAGCCATGTAGGCTCGCTCTTGCTCGATAGATGGTGACTACTCACTTGATAGCCTGAAGTGACTAGCTAAAGGAGCACTAACTGATTTTGTATCATCCATATTGCACTTGCTTAGCACCTTATTTGCAATCTTCTTATAACAATTTCAAGACGTCATTTTCCTTAGTAATTCTCATTCCAAATATTTGTTTTTCAACACCCAAGTCCTTCATTACAAATTCCGTAGATAACCCTTTTTCAACTTATTTTTTCCTTGTTTGCAAGCATATGTAATCAACATAAAGTGGGAAGATAATATATGAGTTATCAATATTTTTTACATAATAGCAACGATCCCTCTTAACACTTTCTAAAGCTATTACTACTCATTAAATCATCAAACTTTCAAGCTATTACTACTGTTTTTGGGTGCATCATTTATGAGATGTTGGAAAAATAAATGCTTATTAGTTTTTTGAGTCACAGGAAACAACCCAAATCTGTATGGTGTAATTTAGATTGTATTTCTCAACTCACCAAATTGTTGATTTTTGGCCTCTCTAAACCAATTATTTAATGAGGGTTTCTAGGATACCGATTATAGAGTTTTTAAAGTACCAATTTTGGGCATTATTAGTGTTCCGATTTTGGATTTTTTAATAGTGATTTTTAACACATTCCAAACTTTAGGGTGGTTATATTTACACCACAATTTTTTTATTAGTTATTATTATTTTTTATATAAATGCACCATATTTAATTACATTAAATGCCGTTAACCTTTATTCATTGTCTCACTTATATCCTTAACTTTTTTTTTAATAATCTCATTATCATTTTCAACATTTTATTAATAAGAAAATCTTATCCTTAATCATGGTTTTCGTCAGAAAATATTGTTAATGTGATTTAAATTTAGGGTCAGATGGCATTATTATTTGTTTTAGTTATTTATCTTAAAGGAAAATTAAAAAGAAACCGTAGTCACAAATATTTTTCTTTTATTTTGATAATAAGAATGCAATGAAAGAAGTTTCAAATAAATATGTGATCATGTGTAAAGGTTGTGAACATTTAATTCAACTAAAATGTAGTCTACTTATTAAAAAATTTGGTGTGAGTATATTAAGCCTAAAGTCGATTATTCAACTATGTTGAAAAATTTTTAAAAGAATAAAATTATATATATGCTCGTACATAAAAAAGGTAGGTATCTATAAACAATATAGAGTAAATGTATATGACACTCTTTGTAATTAATATGACTTTAAATAACTTAACCAATCATTTTCTATTGTGTACATATATCATACCCACGCTCCTGACGGAGGTAGATAATTTAGCACTCGATCGTCTCCCTTTGATTCATGAGGTGTGGGAGGCGGTCTTCAGTATTGATATTGATAGTGTTGTAGCCCAGATGGATTTTCATCACCACTCTTCTAGCATCGTTGGGATATCATACAAGATGCTGTTTTTACAAAGCGATCATTGATTTCTTTGAGGGTGGCCATTTGACTCGTGGTTTCGCCTTTCCATTGTTTTGCTTCCGAAAATGGAGAATGTTTGCCAATGTATAGATTTCGGACCTATCAACCTTCGTACGGTGTTCAATAAGTTGATCACTAAGTTGTTGAACACCAGATTGAGTTCACTGCTTCCTCATATTATCTCTCCTCATCATGCAGGTCAGGAGTAGGATATCAGGCTGGGCATCACGACTACTATCACCTTGGGACCGAATTACTTTGTTGAGATTAGTACTATCATCTCTACCACTTTTTTTCAGATTATGTAGCCTCCTAAGGTTGTATTGAAAAAGTTGGAGAGTATCTTTGCATGGTTCCTATGGGATTTTAAGGAACGGGCACGTCGACTACACTGGAGGACTTGGAAGGAGATTTGCCTTCCAACGGATAAGAGTTAACTAGGCTTTAGGAGACTATATGATGTAGTGGACACTTTCTTTATAAAGCTTTGGTGGTTGTTTCGATCTCTTAATTCTCTTTGGGCTAAGTTCTTATTGGGCAAATATTGTAGAAGGACTTATCCATCACTTGTAGCGATTACCTACTTGGCATCTCTTACCTGGAAGAGGTAGAAGAGAGTTACGCCACACACTGAACCACATATTTTATGCACCTTAGAGCAGGACAAATGTTCTTTTGGTATGATTGCTGGATTGGTGACACTACAGTGGTATCTCTACTCCGAAACAGGCAGTACACATCTACAAGGGTGCAGGATTATTTTGACAACACTAGGTAGGATTTTGGATGATTATTACAGGCTCTTCCTCTTCACATGGCAGAGCAGATAGGGAAGATTCCTTTATGTACAGATGCCAGACCTTATTATTTAGAGGATTACATTGGATGGCAGCTTTGCTACCAACTCAGCATGGCAGCTAACCCGTTCGGTTCACCAATCGCACGACTCGTATCTATTATTGTGGAGCTCCATTTTGCCTATAGCTGTTTCATTCTTCTGTTTGAGATTATGGAAATATCTCATTCCAATATATATAGTCATTCAGAGGAGGATTTGGTGTTAGTTGGCTTCTCGATGTCATTATTGCTCTGAGATTGAGACCATCAGTTATACTAGAGGTGTAAGCGGTCCGATTTTACCGATTTTTGACAAATTTTCAAACCAAACCGTTTAAAACGGTTTGAGAAAAACCCAAACCTAAACCAAACAATTTTGAACGATTTAAAAAATACTCAAACCTAAACCTAACGGTTTGGTCCGGTTTTAAACTGCTGGTTTCGCGATATATTTTTTTGCCCGTCTACTTTTATATTATTAGTTCATTGAATTTAATATATATTTATATCTCACTAGTAATAAATCTAAAACAAACTAAGCCCCTGTTTGAACCAAATTTTTGGGACAAAAAAATGAAAATTTGGATCGTTATTACACAAGTCCAGCCGCCTTTGTTGACCTGTTATTTCATGTGTGGACCCAACCTCCTCTCCAATAGTCAATTTTCTCATTATGATGATATGAAAAATATGACTCAAACAGAGGCTAAATATATCTACTATAAATTTAAATATTAACTAAATCAAAGTGAAATCACAATAAACTAAAACATAGTTTTTTTTTTCATTTTTGTTCACATTTTTTAGATTAATGACGATACAATAACGTTACAATACAAGTCTACTAAACTAGATATAAGGTCCAAAAAATATAATGATGTTCAACAAGATTTTGTGATCATCATATCTGAAAAAAAAGATATTGATTAAACAAAGAGAATAACCAACTACAATAATAAAGCAATTGTTTATAATATCTAAACATAACAATTGCACAAGTTTACATTTGTATGATGTTATGAAAAACATTTAATTTCAGATTCTTACCTTAGTTTGCTCCAAAAAATTATTGATGTGAAACTTTATTTGTAGCAAATATTATCACGGAAGGTCTAGGATCTCTTTGTCTCTGATTTGGTATAATGGATTTCAATTCGACTTTGAAGAGGCGTGAAAAATCTGAAAAGAAGTGTGTGGTGCCGGTGGCTCAAAACTGTGTTGGGTGTCGACTGGAGTTCATCTAAATTTTGAAGAGAAAAAAGGCTTTTGATAGATTATGTTAGTCTTAAAATTATTAAATATATATTAGGATTATTGGATGATGATGATGATGATGATGATGATGATGATGATGATAATATATCTGTATTAGAAAATTAGGAATTGACAAAATACCCACAATTGACAAAACTATTGAATTTTACATATTTGGATGAATTTTCAAAAAATTTCATTTCTTTATTTTT